AGTGCGGGTCGGTTTCGGCCGACCCGCGCTGGTGCGGGTCAGTTTTGACCGTCCCGCATAGGCGCGGGTTCCAAAGCCTGACACTTTCTTTTGGTTTTCCGACTCTTCCGGGACTTGTATTTTCTACCGTTTTGCGTGTTTGACCGTCTTGTTGACTTGCATGCTTCGTTGCGGGATTGACTGTTGGTTGATATACGCGCGTGTTGATTGATGCACGCGTGTTGACCGACGCACACGAACTGATTGACGCGCGAACTGATTGACGCGCACGTGTTGATTGATGCGCGCGTGCCACTTGGTTCGTCATTTCGCTTAATGCGCTTGTCGACGACAGATAATCCTCTTAGACTCGGATAACGACGTTCATCGTCTTCTCTCCATCTCGAGCTGTGTGCGGACACCCATAGGTATTTTTAGATGCCTACAATTGGCAAATTAATTCACAAAAATTAAAATTTATAACTTATCATTTTGGCCATTTTCAATCGCTTCGACCTATTCACAAATAATTTTATGGTAGCAAAAAATCAAAATTTTGTGTTGTATAACCAACAGTTAATGGTCATTTTCATTTTGACACATTGGTAAATAATTTTTTGGACACCAAAATTCACGATTTTATGAGCTATACCCATGATTTTGGCTTTTTTAGTCATTTCGACTTGTTGATGAATAATTTAGCAGATGCTAAAATTTAAGATTTTATGAGCTATAGCCCACCATTTTGGCTATTTTTAGTCATTTTGTTCCATTGTTAATAAATTTACAGTGGCCAAGTAATTACTTGGGCTATAACTAATTATTTATGGTCATTTGTAGTCATTTGAATCCATTGATGAATATTTTTTCGGAGTCTAAAATTCAAAATTTTATTAGCAACTACCTTTAATTTTTGGTCATTTTTAGTCGTTTTGACATGTTGTCTAATAATTTCATGGAGGCTAAAATTGATGATTTTATGAGCTGTAACCCATGTTTTTTGATAATTTTAGTTGTTTTGACATTTGGCAAATAATTTCGCGAAGACCAACATTCATGATTTTCAAAGCTATTATTAAGGATTTTCGGCCATTTTAAATCATTGCTAATCACAGTCAAATAAACTCACAAAGGAAACCATTAAAGATTTTATGAGCTATATCCATAATTTGTCACCATTTTTAGACATTTTCATCCATTGTCAAATAGTTTCACAACGGTCAAATCCACGATTTCGTGTGCTATATAACCCATAATTTTTGGTAATTTTTGGTAATTTTTAGTCAATTCAACCCATTGTCATATAATTTCACTATGGCCAAAAAACACGATTTTGTGAGCAACAACCCATGATTTTGGCCATTTTAGACATTTCCACCCATTGGTTAATTAAATTGTGAAGACCAAAATTCATGATTTTGTGAGATATAACACACAACTTTGGTCTATTTTCAGTCCTTACATGAGCTATAGCAAATGGGTTTTGGCTATTTGGCTATTTTTGGTCATTTGACCATTGGCAAATAATTTCGCAGAGCCAAAATTTATTATTTCCTGAGCTATTATCGATGATTTTTTGCCATTTTCAATCGTTACAACTGGTTGTTAAATAAATTCATGGAGGAAAAAAATTTAAAGACTTCATGAGCTATAACCCACATTTTGTGGCCATTTTAGTCATTTTCACCCATTGTCACATGTTTCGTGGTGGTCAAATTCATAATTTCATGAGCTATAACTCATCATTTTTGGCAATCTTAGTCAATTCGACCTATTGTCATATAATTTCGTTGTAGCCAAAATTCATAATTTCGTGGCTAAAACCCAGAATTTTGGCCAATTTTATCATTTCGATCCATTGATTAATAAATTTGCGAAGGCCCAATACACAATTTTGCGAGCTATAGCCCATAATTGTGATCAATTTTTTATTTCGACCTATTGGTATATAATTCTGCGAAAACAAGAATTCATGAATTTTGAGCATCCCATGATTTTTTGCCAATTTGTCATTTTGGGCTATTAGCAAATAGTTTTATGGAGAGAAAAATTTGCTATTTCTTGATTTATAACCCATGAAATGATGATCAATCATGGGTTATAGCCCAAAAAATTGTAAATTTTAGGCACATGAAATTTTTTGTCAAAGGGTTAAAACGGCTAAAAATAGCTAAAAATTATGGGTTATAGTTCACAAAATTATGAATTTTTATCTCCATAAATTATTTATCAATTGGTCAAAATAAAAAAAAATAATAAAAAAATCGTGGGTTATATAGCTCATGTAATCATAAATTTCAGATTCGATGAAATTACTTATCAATTGGTCGAAATGACTTGTAAAACCCTAAAATTTTAAAATTTTATTTTTATTTTATAATAAATAATAATAAATATGTTATATTA